GGGGTGAACCTGTAGAGCCATGGTTCGCACCTGTCACCATGCTGGGGGTGAGGCTGTAGAGCCACGGTTCCCACCTGTGAGTCGTGACTTCCATAGGGGTTGCATATCAGATCTCTTGCATATCAGATATTTACAATACAATTCATAACGTAGCAGTCTACAATTCCGAAGCAGCAATGCAGTAGTTTTATGGTTGAGGTCACCATAATATAAGGAACTGCGCTAACAGGTCACAGTATTAGGGAGGTTAAGAACCACTGGCCTTGACACTCCCTGCGTCCTTTAAGTGAGTGAAACAAGTGCCTTCAATAACTTCTTTCCCGGGTTACAAATTCAAAAATCTGAGCTTGCTAAACAAATACAAACACATTTTACAGTGTTTCAACTATTTTCTAACTTCAAGCATTTTAATAAGGTATATTTAACTTTATATCGAATTTCATAAACACGGGAACAGTTAGAGGACACCTAAGATACCAGTTACTCCTGTTGACCAGGTCTGGAACTGAAGTTGTCCTCCAGGGTCCTTTCTGTACAAGCTTGTCATGAGCACCTGTGGCTCCTGTGGCTGACAGTGCTCTCAAGTCTGCCAGTTAGATGCACAGTGCCTTCTGGAATTGGATAGCAAGGAAATGGCTAATGTATGTCTTAGATGATCTCATATAATTAGTATTTGTAATGAATGGCATGATGAAGAAAAGAAGCCTTAAACATATTGAACCAAAAGAAGTTGAATTAATCATTAAAAATTCCAGAAGAGAAACTCAATAAAATACAGATTCAAGTGTAATTTCCATCTGGCACAACTTCTTGACCTTTGTCTGTCCTCCCTCCCTTCCTCCCTCCCATTCTCTCTCCCTCCCTTCCATCCTCCTTCCCTCCCTCCCTCCCGTCTTTCCTTCCTTTCTTCCTGATACTTCACTTTGAACAGTATTTGAGTGTTCAGTTTCTCAGCACACAGTTCACAGATCCTTTAGATGTATTTTAGTCTGAGGGTCATGCTGCAGCTGGGGCCATACAGATCTGAGTGGCCTATGCTGCCACAAGGTGCCAGACATCTTGGTGATGTCTGGGCCCAGGACTGTCGCTGAAGGCCATTTCTGGGTCTGTAGCCCTACCACAGGCAGCTGGGATTTGTGTTGATGTCTGTGGCTCCTGATACCCTCGAAGACCATGCTGATGCCAGGGGTCTAGGCTACCACCAGGGGTCATGTAGGCCATGCTGCTGCAGGGTCCATGCCAGTGTGAGTGGCCTGCACTACTACCTCAGTCCATGGTGACATCTGGGCCTGGGCTGCTTCAGAGGACCATGTCTGGGTCCGTGTTGGATCTGTTAATTCACAGTTGGGTCTGTGTTAATGTCCATGACCCATGTTACAACCAAAGGCCACATGGATGCCTGGGGTCTAGGCCACAACCATTGGCCATGCTGGTGTCCGAGGGCCATGCTGCCACTGGGGTCATACTGATCCAGGTGACCTGGGGCAATGCTGTCTGGGCTCAAGTTGCTGCTGAGGCCATGTCTGGGTCAGTGGTCCTGCTGAACCTGGGGTCTGTGGTGATATCCATGGCCATAGGAACCCTGTGTATGGGAATCCAAGGGCCTTGCTGAGCTGACTCCGCCCTTCACTGACTCTCGGTGTAGGAGGCCTCACCCCTCCCTTGCATTACAGCCTGAGAGCTGGTCCCACCCCTCACAGGAGAGCTCCACCCCACCCCTTACCACAGTCTTCAGAGAACTGGCCCCAAGGTCATCCCTTGCCTAAGGAGGGTGGCCCTGACCAGCTCAGCCACCACACCCTGGGCCTTGGATTAGACCACCTCGTGTCTGCTCCATCTAGGATTGGTCCTGCAGAACAATAGTGGCAGGATCTCCTTGACTGGGGACAATTGCAGGATATCCGAGAGGAGTTTGGGTGTGCCAGAGGCCAGGGGCCTTGAACCAGACCAGTGATTCACTGCAGTGGACATCTGTGGGCAAGGCTGGCAGGACAAAGGGTGGACCACATGACACATGGCAGCCCTCAGTGCCACTAGAATGAACGAGGTGTTGGAGAGGTGGGAGAGATGGGGGTGCGAGGTGGTCTTTTTGTTTGTTTTTAATTAATTGGGGGGGGACCCTGGAGGTGAGGTGCAGATATGGAGGGACTGGGAGGTGAGTGGGGTTGGGGTGTATAATGTGAAATTTCCAAAGACTTAATAAAGAATTGTTATTAAAAAGATGTATTTTAGATATTATATCAGAAAAAAAACATTTTTGCTTGAGGGGAAAGGGAAGCCTACTGTTTGAGACCATGTTTCATCATCTGTGAATAATAGCAAAGGGGTTTTTTTCATTGTCTAAAAAAATGCAAAAGGGATAACAGCTTAGCTGATACAAAGTTAAAGGTTAAAGACTTCTGGTGAGAAACTTTCAGCTTCTGATGAAATTTCTCTGCAAAAGAAGTTTAAATAATTTAGGGTAAATCTCGGTTTCTTTTAGCTCAGCTTTGAATCCAGTGAACCCCAAACACGATGCCAGGAACTTCCAGCAAACTGTTCCTTGAATTATTTCCTGTTGAAGTGGCTGCTGATGTCCATGGGACTCGGGGGACACAGGAGCAGGAAATATTTCATTACCTTGCTTTCCCTTCTATATGCTCTGTTTAAATTAGGAGCATTGTTTGTCGCAGAATGAGCCTTTTGTTCTTGCAAATATAATCTGTAGTTTAAGAAAAAAAATCAACTCCGAAGAACAGGAGAAGTCAGAAAAAAAAATAGAATTGATAAATGAGAATTTTCCTAGTAGGGTAACTGGTTCCTTTGCAAATTAAATTGATTTTAAGTTAGATTTACATTTCCTAAGAGAAAAGCAGGTGTTTTTTTTTCTCTTGGAGCTTTATTGTTTTTTAAATTAAATTTATTCTTTGATAGTTTTATGATGCACATAACACACAGTGGTCACACTTACACCCCATCCTTTTTTTTTTTTTTTTTTTTTTGAGGCAGGGTCTGTCTGTATCCCTGGCTGTCCTGGAACTCACAGGTATCCGCCTGCCTCTTCCCCTAGGATTAAAGGCGTGCACCACCACACCGACCCCCATCCTTTCTTACCTCCTCCCCTCCCCAGCGAACCCTCTACGAGACCCCTTCCCACTTTCCCGTCTTCATTTTGTGACCCACTGAGATTACAACCTTTGTGGGCGTCGTTGTGGAACACGGTGAGCTCACGTATAGCTGCAGCGTTTAAGACCACCACACCCCTTCAAGCATCCGTCAAGAGCTAGCAGTTCCTCAGGTGGGGACAGGTCCCCATGACCCCGTCCCTGATGATTGCCACCGTCATGCCATCTTGTTGCGAAGGTGATGTCTCAGCATCATCAGCCAGCTCATCTGTTATTTCTGCTCTTTAGTCTGGGTTTGAAGTCCACACAGGAGAACGGACTGCGTGTGGTAAGCTTTGTGAGGTAGGTCCCTGGAGACAGGGTCTCCCGCTAGAGCTTGGACTGGACCTGAGCTCAGGATTCTCCTTCCTCCGTCTGCCTCTCAGAGTGTTCGGATTGTACTCAAGGGCCATAACCCCCGTCCAGGCGGAAGCTTTTCTGAATGGGTTTTTACATGGCACCCGCTTACCTTGCAACTTGGGGAGGGACTTTGTTTCCCTTAACACTTCCGTTATCTAGGGAAGTCAGGGCAGGAACTGAAGCAGGAGCCACGGAGGAACGCTGCTTCCTGGCTTACTCCTGGTGACTTGCTCTGTCTGCTTTCATAGAGCACCCAGGACCACGAGCTCAGATAGCGCTGCTCACAGTGGGCGAGGTCCTCCCACAACAATCATTCATCAAGACTGCACCACACTCTGGCCCACAGACCTAGCCTATGGAAAGGTCTCTCCTTTCCTCCATCGAGTCTCCCTCCACCCAGATAGTCTAGCCTGTGCCAAGTTGACATACTGAGCTAGCAGAGTACCTTTTATTATTATTATCATGAGAAAAAAATGACTCATATCTTTTAATTCTTTTCACTTCAAAATAATTCCAAACTTAAAAAGTACTGAAAAGTACAAAGGAACTTTCCCACTGAGCTGCTGAGTCAGCAACGCCTCACCATCTCAGATACATCAGTGTGTGATTCCAGGAAGGCCTCTTGTAAATCACAGGACGCCCACCATACCAGGAAGTCAGCACTGACATTCCACCACTATCTAACCCGACGGCTTCCCTCGGGTTGCCGTTTGTCACGGGCTTCACGATCGAGTCACCACACTGTCAGTGTCAGTGGTCATGGTGACATTCATGAAGCAGTTTTCAGATTTCAGACCAGTTAGCCAGTAGTCCACCCTCAGTCCAGTGTGCCCGGTGCTTCCTTATCAGCCTCAGGCGTGGGAGAATGCCACAGAAGAAACGACTTCTTGCATCCTACCAAGTGTCAGACAGGGGCCAAGCTTTCCAGTTCCTGGGGGCTGGGGGTTGGTAGTTGGGTAAGGTATGGTCTATCAACTTCTCCAGTCTTACATTCCCCCTCGCCCCTGCAGGTCAGTGCCCTGTGATAGACCAGGTCTTCACTCACCCGACTCAGCTACTACTGTGCTGAGTCCTGTTGCCACATTGTGTCCTTCCTTCACGTGTGCTCCCTGGCATCCCATGGGCAGGCCGGGCATTCCTTCACTCTCCATCCATCTGTATTGTTGTAGCCTTGGTTTTGTTTTGTGGGGTTTGGAGACTGAGCCATGACAAAGTGGCATCTTGTCACTAACACACCCCACTTACAGATCCCCCTTTTATTCGATGAGGTGGTAATTTGTTACTAATATTTTTATTTTTAAGTAATGGTCTGAATAGTGGGAGCTCAAGCTCGTTCCTATGTCCTTTTGACATTCTCTCCATCATTCTTCGAGTATATTCTTACTATAACACACAGCTATGCCATGGTCATCTCTGTAGTTCCTCTGTACTAGCCATGAAAGTGACTATTTCTCTAAGAGGATCTGGTTTCATTTGTGGAGAATGCTATTTTTCTAGAGTAAACTTCTTACTGCGCTTACATGTGTGTGTCCGTGCACACTACTGCACACATATGGAGGTCAGCGCTTACATGTGTGTGTCCGTGCACACTACTGCACACATATGGAGCTCAGGATAATTTACGGGGTCGGTTCAGTTCTTGCCTACCATGTGGGGCCAGGGGATTGAACTTGGATTGTCAGGCTTGGCACGAGTGCCTTTGTCCACTGAGCCATCTCAACATCCCAAAAGTATTTAATTATTATTATTTTCTTGAGACAAGATGTCATGTAGCCCAGACTGGCCTTGAACTTACTATGTAGCCAACAATAATCTTAAACTATTTTCTGCAATCAGGAGCCTGGAATATAGGTGTATATAACGCCTGCTTTATGTGATGCTGGAGGGCAGGGCCCCCTGCAGATTGGAGAAGCTATTGACCTATACCCTGAACCCCAGAAGATGGTATTTAGAAACTAAGGTTTGGGGATCACATGTGCTCAATGCTATTGTGGATTGCTATTTGTAAGCCCTCTCATAGAACACGCAACATCTAGAAATTTCTATATACACCAAAAAACTATGGTTGTAATTATCAGCATTTTCAGTGTCTGCCCTCTATTTCTCCTTTTCAAATTTCTTTTTGTTGTTGTTGTTTTGCTTTGTTTTTTGTGTTTTGAGACAGAGTTTCTCCGTTGCTTTGGAGCCTGTCCTGGAACTAGCTCTTGTAGACCAGGTTGGTCTTGAACTCATAGAGATCTGCCTGCCTCTGCCTCCCAAGTGCTGGAATTAAAGGTGTGCACCACCACTACCCCCGCCCCGGCCTTTTCAAAATTCTTAATTCTCCGCTCTGATGGTAAATCTGACTCCCATTAGCCTCAATGCACACCACAACATGCACATAAAACCCTTAGAGTAACTACCCTCCTATTGCTTCCTCAAAGATGACTACAATCCCATTATCAATAAAATCTGAACAGACTAATAATGAATAATGAGATAAAACTAACAAAAGACCCCCCCCCAAAAAAATGGGACCCTAGTCTATTTGAATGCAAAGCTTCCTAGGCCTGGATATGGGGGGAGAGTCTTGACTTCCCACAGGACAGGGTTCCCTGCCCTCTCTTAAGGAGGGAGGGGGAAGGAGGAGGATGAGTGGGGGAGCGGGAGGGGAATGGGAGGAGGGGAGGAAGTGTAAATTTTTGAATGGAAAAAAAAATAAATAAAAAAGTATCCTAGGACCTGATAGTTTCACTGCTACCATTTAAAGAACTGATAGCAATCTCCAACTCTTCTAAAGCAAACAAAGAGGAAATGCTTCCAAGCTCTGATGGCAAAATCCAACAAAGGACATCACTAAGGGAAAACTCAGGTCACTATTTCTTATGAACATACGTGAAAAACTAAGATGCTAGCAAGACAAACTCAGCAGCAGACTCAAAAGATATAGCTCACTATGGCCATGTGGGATTGCCTCAAGGGTTCAAGGATGGGTCAGTATGACAAAAGCGGAATTCCCATGACATTTTTGGCAGAACTGTTCTAAACAGAATATGGAACCACAAGAGAGAGCCAGTGAAGTGAGCGGAGGCCAAAAGAACAATATTGGAGAGAAAGACGTGGTGTCTAAATGGGAAATTCCAGGACTCTGATGGCAGGGGTGGGAAGATCATAAGTTTGAGGCATACAACAAGATCCAGGCCAGCCTGGGATATACAGTAGGGTCCCAATTCACAACAATAATAAAGACTGGGGATGTAGCCCAGTCGGCAGGATGCTTGCATAGCATACATGAGTCCCTGGGTTCCATGCTCCGTACATCGTTAAAATGGTGTGGTGGTGTCTGCTTGTAACTCCCACAGTTCAGTTGGAGGTCATCCTCAGTGACACAGGAAATCTGAAGCCAGCCTGGCTACAATACTTGATTTCAAAATGTAACTAAAAGTTGCAGCAGTTAAAATAGTATGTATTTGCTCAAGTACACCCACACATCCCAGACCGGAAATAACGCATGCACTTACATCTAGCTTCTTTCTGACAGAAGTGTCAAGAGTGCACAATGGGGAAAGAACAGTAGAAGGCACTGGGAACTGGGTCTGCCTGCCTTTGTATGCAATGAGTTCCTGAAGTTACACCATTTCCGAAGATCACCTACCTCAAATGCTCAGAGCTAAAACTAAAACTCCTAGGGGGGAAAGCAACCTGACTGTGTGCTAGGCAACTGTGCTTTTGCATTTGCCACCAAAAGCGTGACCGACAAAAGCAAAACTGGACAAATGGGATTACTAACCAAAAAGGCTTCCTTGAAACAGCAAAGGAAAGAAGAAAGTGGAAAGACCACCCCCAGAATGGGACATCTGATAGCAGGCTGCTATCCAGAACAATCCAATAGAAGAAAACAAAGGATGCACTGGTGTGGTGACATGCCTTCAACCCCAGCACCTCTGATCTACTTAGCAAGTAATAAGACAACACACACACACACACACACACACACACACACACACACACACACAAAGGATGTAATTAGTAAAATGGACCAAAAACCATTACATACGTTCTCAACAAACAAAGGGTCAACAAGCCTATGAAAAAGAAAACTCAATAGGGAGACAAAAATTAAAATGGGATACCACTTCATACCTATAAGAATGACTATTATCAAAAAGAGGGAAGTCGGGCTGAAGAGATGGCTCAGCAGTTAAGGACACTTGCTCATCTAGCAGAGGACCCAAGTTCCCAGCATCCATGTCAGATGGCTCACAACCACCTATAACTTTGGCTTCTGGGAATTCATGCCATCTTCTGGCCTCCTAGGGCACCAGCACTCATGTATGCACCACACACACACACACACGCACACACACACACACACACACACACACACACGCACTCACGCACGTGGAGAAAGCTAACATTGCTGGTAAGAACATGGAGTAAGGAGAAACTGCAATGTTGGTAAAAATGTATGTTGGTTCAGCTGTTATGGGAGTTCCTCAGAAAAACAGAACAAGTGTGTGATCTAGCAATTCCATTATTGGGTTTATATATCTATGTCCCAAGGGGAAAAACCCAGTATGTTCTTATCTCCATTCCATGTCCACAGATTTACAATCACCAAGCTAATAAGTCAATCTGAGGGTCTGCCAGGATGAGCAGATGAAGAAAATACAGTACAAATACACAGTGAGATGGTATTTGGCCATTTAATGAGGAAATCCTTTCATCTGCCACAATGTAGACAAGCCTGGAATAAAATTCTGAGGCCAAGAAAACAGATGCCACATGATGTAGTTCATACATGAAATCTAAAATTGCTGAAGTCAGAATGGGATGTTGAAAGGTTGGGATGCACTTGAGAGAAACCAGGAAAACAGGTGGCCAAAGGACACAATTTTGGGGATCATATTTAAAGAAATAAAGTTGAGATGACTCCATGGGTAAAGGACACCACCCCTAAATCTGGTGACCTGAGTTTACTTCATGGAACCCACGTGAAGGGAGGAGAGAGCTGTCCTCTAGGATTAATTCCCCAGATGTGCTCTCTCACCCACAAACAGATGAATAAGACCTAAAAATGGACACCTAAAACTCTTTCTATGAGAGGAAGCGCACACTGAAGTTCCTATTTCCACCTCTGCTCTTCTCGTCTCGGGTGCCGGTCATCTGCAAGCCATGAAGGGAACTCAAAGATCCGGACCATATGGCCCCCCTGAGACTTCGACCTTGGGGCGGGGAGCCGGGTGTGGTGGCAGACTCCTTCAATCCTAGCACTCAGGAAGTTTGAGACAGGCATGGTCTACATAGTGAGTTCCAGGGCAACCTGAGCTACATGGTGAGACACTGTCTCTGAAAAAGGAAAAAAAAAAAAAGAAAAAGAAAAAATCTTTGAAAAAGGGATATCTATTGCTTCCTGAGACACCATTTCAAAGGGCAGTTACAGAGAAAAGCATTGCTGAGAACATTCTGTAAAATGCCTAATGTTTCTAAACAACCCAAACAACTGCTCCTTAGAACAAGATATTTTGTGAGCAAACAGCAAAATTTTGGCAAGCATTTTTAGAAAATGGTTTATTACATCACCAAGAAAAAAATCACAGTATACAAAGATATTACAAAAGTAACACAATGTTTTGTACAATAAAAGACATCTTGACATTTTAAAAAATATTTCATATTGATACAAAGCTTAACGTCTTAGATAATAGTATCTGAGAACTTTAAAAAATCATTTCATCAGTGCCTTGAAGTTCATTCATTATCAAGCATATAAAATAAGTTTCAAATGCAGACAGCTCAGCGGTAGAGCACTTGCCCAGCAGTTATGAGACTTGGGGTTCAATTCCAGTATGATGCTCCCCTCCCTTCCCCTCAAAAATCTAAATATTTTAAACCAGATGCGGTGTGGTTGGCATATGCCTACAACCCCAGCACTCAGAAGGGAGAGGAAGGTGGACAGTAAATTCAAGGTCAAAACAACAGATTTCACTAGTTAGTTGAGATTTTTTAAACCATGGCCAACAGTATTTTTTTTCTTCTTTTTCAGTATTTTTTAAATTCTCTGATTGATGTATCCCATGCTGCACAGGCTGATCTTCAAGTCCTACCCTCAAGCAGACCTCCTGCCTCAGCCTTCCACGTGCTGAAGCTACAGCGTGAATCACCATGAGGTCTAGTGAAGACTGAAAGTCAATTATCCTGAAGTACTCCAACCTTATCCTACTCCATCTTATATGGAAAGTTATAGTTTGATTTAAAAAGCTTAAAAAGAAAATGACACAAGATGAATTTGGGATTTTACCAAAAATTTACATAGTTGCTAATAGCCCTAAAAACTCAGTTTGTTTTATTATTGTGAACTCAAAGTATTCAATGAATTTTGTTTGTGACTCTTTAAAGTTCCAGAAGTTTTAAAAAATAAAAACAACTCTGAATTTGTTTGGGTGGCAGAAGCAGGTGTGCTTCGGTGAGTTCCATGCCAGTCAGGTCTACAACAGGGTGACCTGTCTTAAAAAAAAGGAAGGAAGAAAAGAAGGGGGAGGAGGAAACCAAATGACCATCTCCAGCTGTGGAACAAGCCTGTGCACACTAAGATTTACTACCCCTTTAAATAACCGGGGACAGGTGGCAACTGCCCTTGAGCCATGCTTAGAAGAGTGTGGTTGTTAAAAAGTTACATCTCATCTATTAAAAAAGATGGTGGGACACAATGCAGAATACTAACCATTGCACTATCAATCCCAGCACTCGGGAGGCAGAGGCAGGTGGATCTCTGAGTACGAGACCAGCCTCGTCTACAGAGCAAGTTCCAGGACAGCCAGAGCTGTACAGGGAAACCCCGTTTTGAAAAACCAAAACTAAAATAAAAACAAAAGAAGACAAAAAAAAAAAAACCCGGTGTGGACATGAGTGGGATTTTGGTATTCTGCATACATGAAAAAAATCAGATACGATTACTTTTGAGACTTGGTGTCATCCGCTGTTGGCTTCGCACTGTGAACTCTGCCCTGATGTTCAGTTCAAGCATTCGTGCGACTGCCTTAGAGGGCCGAGCCTGGACAAACCTGAGAGTAGACTAATCCGGCCACATGAGAAACACAGCTGCTCATTCACTGTCTTTGACTCACACGTCACAACTTACAGTGTTTCTTTCCAGACATTAGTACAGAACACACCCTGGGAAAGATGGGCATTGAACCCAGGGCTCTGCATGCTAGGTGCTCTACCACTGAACTACACCCCAGCACCTTTTTTTTTTCACTTTATATTTTGAGATAGGAGCTCACAAGTTTGTTCCCTTGGACTCACCCGGCAGACTGGACCTTGAACTTGTGATCCTTCTGCCTGAGTATCTGGTATTACAGGCCAGTAACACTAGACCCATCTAGGCTACCTGACTAAAACCAGTCTTTCTTCTCTACAGTTTTCCATGTTGTCTGATAGCTTGTGGTATTTTTTCAACATATCAATTTATGATTAAAATGTAATATGGTACAGATTGACAGCCTGTATCGCCAATGGAAAGTAGAGTCTTTCTGAGGCCATTGAAACACGCTGAAACATACTAAGGCAAAGTGACAACCCCGTTACTCTGTACACTAGACTCATAAATGGGAATCCATTAGCAAAGTCAAGGCTGGCAGACTAAGTCAGCAGGCTCTGATGACAAGAATCAGAATAGTGGTTTGGGGGTACTGATGAGAGCCTGGAGTCCCAAACACGATGGTTACATGGTTTTTACATAAGTAAAAATTCTCCAAGCTATCCCTTAAAGTCAGCCCACGTTTATGTGTGATTCCTCATAAGTAAAGAATTGTACCTTTGAGAACAAGAGTTGACTCTCATTCACCTCTGATTTTCTACATAGAACATGGTGCACTGTACAATATATGGTTACAAAATGTCAAATGATTTATAACATGAATACTGCCTACTGGCATGACAGGGTAAGGTACCTCAGGGGTACTTGAGATTTAACCTGCCACACAGAGGCAGAATTTCTACTGGCTATTGTCGGCATTACGATTTCTGAGAGAGTTGCTTTGGGTTTCAAAGGGCCTCAGGATGGTTTTTGTCTTGTTTTGTTTTTGTTTTCGAACTCACAGAGATCTATGTCAAGTGCTGGAATCCAAGATCTGCTGGATATCAGCTGCAGCAGACCAAACCCTGCAGAGAAGCCAGCTGTTAGTGGGAACTGTTGGGAGCAGAGACAGAGCGGGTTACATACATGGAGACCTGAGGGGAAAAGAGTGACATGCTCTAACCGCAAAGTGTAAGAGGTATAGGCTATTAAAAGAGCAACAACTGGAGCGGAAAAATACCCACTGGAGAAAAAGAATGATGGAAGAGCCAGGCCCAAGAGACTTTTAGCAGACAGACTCAAAAGGGCTATGTATGAATTGAGGAAGACAATCATAGATGATCCGAGGTTTCTATTCAATTCTCTGGTGACAGTAGTAATGCCATTAGGAAAGCGGAGTGTAAGAGAAGGCAGCTTACATGAGCATTCAGACAGCAGCAGAGAAAGATGACACTTGGTACAGATGGGAGTGCACACAGCAAACAGCCATGGGGAGCTGGGGTTAGGAACTCAGAGGATCCTGACCATCACAGAAACGCCTGGGCAATAGCAACAGGCTGTGGACAGGACAGACAAGTAGAGTAACACTGAGACAGAGACCTGGGCTCCGACAGGGGATGGGTAAACTAAAGCCAGAGATGGACGGGCGAAGGAGGGACACACACGTGACGGGATGGAGGCACAGACTTTACAGTTACGGTGTGGGAAGAAGGGACGTGATACTGGTAGGGTTTCTGGTACTTTGTGGGATGTTTTTAGCCTTTCTTTCTGAGCTCAAGAAGATATTTGTTCTGTTTATATGGCGAAAGCAAGAACTAGGTGGTGATATGAGGATACTGGGAGCAGGGGAAGAGATGGAGTGCACAGGTGGAGTTGGGGAAGGAAGGCCCATGCCCTCCAAACCAGGTGAAATACAAGTGCAACTAGGGAGAAAGGGGAAACGTGGCTAAACACGTTTTAAGTTATAAAATGAGTTGTGTGGCCAGGAAAACAGCACCTGGAAATAAAACATCATTTGAAAATACTCTAAGCACAGATGTAGATGAACCTTAGTTCCAGTTAGAGGAGAAACTAAGAAAGCAGTCAATGTGTGGGTAACATCCGCTGAGCTTTCTAACAGCTGTGTCTGAGTTATCAGTGCCAACTACTGCTGAACTGCTACAATCATCTGATCTAGCATACAGATCAACACGGTAGCATGCGTCTCCCAGCAAAGCCCAATTAAATTAAATCTGTCACTGATGTCCAGAACCACATAAACTTGGTGTGACCGTGCACATCTGTAACCCCAGCACTCCCGAGGTAGCAGCAGGAAGATTCGAAGGTTAAGGTCAGCTTTGGCTACGTAGCAGGTGTGAGACCAGCTTGAGCAATATGAAACCCCGTGTCAAACAAGAGTTCAAAGGAGGTGGCCAGCTTTGCATATATATTGAGGAAAGACCTGGATTGGCTGCTCTCTTGATAGATTTGGGAGATGAAGAATCAAGGACGACGTCAGGGTTTTTGCCTTAGCATTAGAAACACAGCATTGCCAATTTCCAGAGCTGGCGAGGCTGGGGAAAAGCCAGCCAAAAGCACGGCTTCGATATATCGACGTAAAACTTAAATTTATTTTGTAATTTTTTTTTTATTTTTCCCTCTCCAGGGGGTTGAACACAGGGTCTTGCAAACAGTAAGCAGGCTCTACCACTGAGTCACATCCTTAGCCTTTTCTATCTTTATTGTGAGACAAAATTTCCATAAGCTGCCCAAGCTGGTACTGAACTTACTCTGTGGCCCAGGCAGGCCTTGAACTGCAACATTAAGCAGAAAGATTACAGACATGGGCTAGAACATCTGGTTAGATTCCTGACAAAGAAGCAGACAGGCTTTATGAGATTAAAGGGAATGAGGGCATCTTTTAATAAAGAAAAGGCTAAAAAAAGTATTTTTCTTGGAAATATTGGTATTAAGCTATTTTTCTAAAGACTTATTTTATTATGTATACGATGTTCTGCCTGCATGTATGCCTGAAGGCCAGAAGAGGGCACCAGATCTCATTACGAATGGCTGTGAGCCACCATGTGGTTGCTGGGATTGAACTCAGGACCTCCAGAACAGTCAGTGCTCTTAACTGCTGAGCCATCTCTCTAGCCCAAAGCTAATTTCATAGGTAGCCTTAGTGGTATGAATCTAAGTAATATAAGAATAGAAAACAAAAATCCTCCATACCTTGAAATCTCACTTTAGTGCTCCCCCCACCTCTCTCTCTCTCTCTCTCTCTCTCTCTCTCTCTCTCTCACACACACACACACACACACACACACACACACACACATATCTAGAAATACCAAGAAACCCCAGAAAACCCCTTAGGGGTCACTTTAGTCTCTGGGCCTCAACAATAATAATGAGTTTATTTCCCAATGGCATAGCCATTACACGTTTTACCTTAAATCTGCTTGAAAGCAAATATCAATTCATTTAACTAATACATTAATATGTTACAAAAGACACATAGCTTGTCTTGAGGAAATATGAAAGAACAAGTCACACCAAGCACATCCATTTTCGGCATCTTTCAAAGTAACAATCCTAGAGCCCTCTAAAGTTTCTATTCTGAACCTTCTCTTTCTAGTCTGTATACCTCAAGTTTTATAGTTCTCTAGATTTAAGTCCTACAACATATCTAAAAAACCATATACCAAAGAATCACTCAACTGCTCACTCTGCAGAGTGTCAATACTTGAATACTGACTATTCTGAACAAAATTACGACTATTTGCATCATTCGACGGTCCAGGCTCATTGATCAGGCTGTTTTCGACACAGTTGAAGTTTGACCTATTGAATGCATCTGGCTGGGAAACAAAGACAGAAGTAGAACTGGTGCCTGTTGACATACTGGCGGCAGGCATCTGGTGTCTCAGGTCTCTTGAGTTACATGAAGGGTTTTCAAGATTGATGCTCACAAGTCTTGGATTCTCAGTGTCCCCCATGCTACCACTGCTGGTTGTCATCACACTCACAGGGCGATTAGACAGCATGTTGACATCAGAAATGCTATATAAGCCATCCGGTGACATGGGTGACGTTTCCATTCTAGCTAGGCCATCGGTATAGAGGCAAGCATTGGGGGCACTTAAATCGCTCATCCCAGGCCCTTCTAGGAACGGAAGGGTGCCTGGTGAGTTAGAGGGCAGTGCTGCTGCTGAGAAGCTACTCAATGCATTTGTACTGACTGAGCGTGAGGTGGGGTGGGTCACTGCTGACCAGCTTGTAGGTGGAGAGACCACTGAGGCCATGGCTGGTGGGTGATGTGGCAGTCCACTTGAGATGGGCACAGAGGAAGAATAGTAGGGTTCGGCTTGACTTGAAACTCCCGAAGACCTGGGCATTTCTGGTAGAACAGTACTGTGAGGAAACAAGTTTGGTTCTGTAGAAGAAAATGTATTTTATAAATTAAGATGAACTAATTAACATAAGGCATTATTTTTGAATTGAAATTATAAAAACCCAGTAAAAATTTCAAATAAAAAAAATAAAGCACAAAAATTACTACATGATTTTAAAACTAAATTCAGTAACGTGTAATTGCTTTACAAATAGATGAAAAATTATTTTTAAAAATGTTGGCATATGTAATTTTCTTCAAGTTAAATATAAAAATCCAACTTTTTGAGCCATATAGGTACATCTTTAAAACATGGCAGATAAATATTGGATACAGTCTCTACTTTTAGAAGAAAATGGAGAGATGGAGAAGACATTCATTGGGAAAAACTAAAAAATAAGTTTTTAAGACTTATTAAGATATGACTCTACTACAAAATTCCCTATCATAAAAACCGTATTTATTGACATATTATACAAGTATTATATAAACCAATTTAAGGAAGGAAGGAAGACGGAAAATTTGTCAGGGGCTCATACAATATCTTCTATCAAAGGCCGGATGGTTTTAAGGTATGCTGGGTGAGCAACCTCTGTTGGAACTACTCGAAGCTGTTGCTGCAGAAGGAAAAAGGGAGTCTAGGTCTGGAGTGGACTGGGCATGTCAGCAAGTGCTCCGCATGCCTGAGGTCTGCTGCAGCACCGTTTAAAAAGGCAGCGAGAGACACTGCAACCAAAGGAGCTTGGCGCCATATCCACATCACTTCTCCCATGACACAGTGCAATTAGCGATTTTACCAGTTGTGGTGGTTTGAATACACATGAGCCCATAGACTCATGTTTGAATACTTGGCCCACAGGGAGAGGCATTATTAGGCCTCTAATTATTTAACAAGGTGTGGCCTTGTTAAAGGAGGTGTGCCACTGTGGAGGTGGGCTTTGAAGTCTCATATGCTCAAGCTATGCCCAGTATGACACACTGGGGCTTCTGCTGCCTGTGGATCAGGATGTGGGACTCTCAGCTCCTTCTCCAGCACCATGTCTGCCTGCATGCTATCATGAAGATACTGAACTAAAGCTCTGAAACTGTAAGCCAGCCCCAGTGAAATGTTTGCCTTTGTAAGAGCTGCTGTGCCTGGTGTCTCTTCCCAGCACCACAACAGGAACTAAGACACCAGTGTATCAACAAAATGTAATTGCTTGCACAATAAAATCCCCCAAAATAGAATCAGTTTCCACAACTCCAGAGGCACAGAGCAGCTCAATTCAATATTGAAAGCATGAGAAAATTTGTAGAAAATAAAAATATTTAAAAAGCATTTATTCCTAAAACGTGGAATAACAACATTTAATAGGGATAAAATACCTTTTTTGATGAATCTTCCATCTCCAATTGACCCTGAGGGCATAGTTCTTATTCTCTCAGGAAAGTTAGCTGCTATGATAAAATTTTTCTATTATTAAATGTAATTTGAAAAAAGTTTATAATTAAAATTTTTAAAAACCAGTAAAGCAAATAAATTAGTTTAAATATAAATCAATCCAAAATATTCTTACCACAATCTTGCATCAATTTCTGAAAAAGTAGAGTTGTTTTTTGTTTCTTTGATTTATTGCCATATGCATCTGATTAAAAAAGAAGGCAGAAAAAACAGTAAATCATCATGGGTTCTATCCCCTCCACCATTAAGTAGGCGCATTGTCAGCACATGGAAGTGCTTTGAGTACATGTGAGTAATATAGACCTGTAAAGACATTACTGTACAATAGATTCTATATCAGTTGTCAGGGACACTTTTCTTTAAAGCAGCTTAAACTAGTCATTTTTCACCCTAAAAACATAAAAGTCAACATGAACTAAAACACTTTCCAAATATAAAAGGGCACAATAAGTACAAAGTGAATCCAAAAATAAACATATTGAGAGAAAATATGATCCAACGGTTCAAGAACTCTCAAATTATTGAAACCCTCCTAAGAAATGTAAAAAGCAAGAAAAAAAAAACAAAGAAAAAGACACAATACTGAAAACTTTCAGGAAAAGAAAATCTAAAATACAAATATATAAAACTGCATTCAAAAGCCACGAGAAGAGGCAGGCAGATCTCAGTGAGTTTGAGGCCAGCCTGGTCTACAGAGTGAGTTCCAGGACAGCCAGGACTGCTATACAGAGAAACCCTGTCTTGAAAAACAAAACAAAACAAACAAACAAACTGCACTCACATGTTTATTTTACAATATCACCAGCACGATCAGCTTAAGAAGATGATCTGTTCTTGAGCTGAGAATGCAGCTTGGCTGGTTCAGCACTTGTTAGTGTGCATAAAACCCTGAGTTCCATCCCTAGCACCACATTTAACAAAGTGGAGTGGGGAGCACAGTGTTCTACATCTGCAATCCCAACAGTCAGGAGGTGCAGGCAGGAGGATCATTCGGCCTTGGCTACATAGCGAGTTCAAAGACATCATGGAGTACATGAGACTCTGTTTCCAATACACACACACACACACACACACACACACACACTACATGTGTGTGTATGTACATGACTACTCACATGTCATACCTTTTTCATCTGGCAGGTATCTGAAATCCATAGATTCACTAACTTCCTGGTCGGAAGGTCTCCGCAGCTGCATCTTCACTGTCACAGGCTCCAATATGGCTTTGCAATATGGAGGAGTCTTGAAAACAATAGCTACTTGGCGGTGTACATCAGCTTGTGAAAATATCCCTTTAGCTTCCCAGTCATTCAACACAAAACGAACTTCTATGTCATCTAGGGAATAAGATGCCAAGGATTAGTAACAATGGGGAAACAAGGTAAAATACATATATTAATTAAAAATATATTACTAATTCAAAGAAACAAAATTGGTAAATACCTTTCTGAACTTTGTCGCAAAGTAGAAATATTTCATCTCCTCCCCTAACACTTCCACAATTCTTGTTTACACGACAAATCCTTAATTCAGCAGTATTTGGGGCACCTAAACACAAAAATTTTTAAAAATGTCTCAGTATTGTCTTAATTAATGTTACTACTGCTTGATGAAACACCATGACCAGAAGCAGCTTGGGGAGGAGAGGGTTTATTTCACTCACAGTTCCATAGAACAGTTCATCATCAAAAGCAGTGAGGGTAGAAACTCTACAGGGCAAGAACCTGGAGGCAGGAGCTGATGCAAAGGCCATAGTGATATTTCATTTGTCTTTTAATAAATAAAGCTTGCCTGAAGACCAGAACGCAAAACAACCACACTAGTCAGTCATACAGGACAAGCAGTGGTGGCTCACATTAGTTAGCCATAGAGGCCAGGCGGTGGTGCACACCATAATCCCAGCACTAGAGAGAAATATAAGGTGGAATGAGACAGAAACTTGTTCTCATTCAGTCTGAAGATTGCACAGAGGTAAGAGCTCTCTAGTGGTTGGCTGCTTTGCCTTTCTGATCTTTAGGTTGAACCCCAATATCTGTCTTTGGATTTTTATTATTCATGCTACATTTGGTGCCCAAAATTTAGGGTACAAATTCATGAAAAAGCTGTCAGCCTGTGTTTTTTTAGCCACTGGCGCAGGCTGGAGCTACATGTCCCAGTCCCACATGGCTAGACTTTCTTTTTTTTCCCCCAAGCCTCTGAGCAAGTTTGAGATTTTCCTTTAGCAGCCTCTGTGACAGTCTCCAGTTGCACCCCAAACTCTAGAAGCACCTGGGCTCCAAACACCACAGGACTCACCTGCCCAAAATCAGCTGGTTCTGTATTCAGACAGCCCCAGCCACACACACGTTTTCAGAACAATCAACTGTGTTTCTTTCTGACAGTCTGTGGGCACTGTGCACGCTCTCTCTCTCTCTCTTTCCTTCCTCCTTCCCCTCCCCTTCTTTCTCTCCCTTTGTCCACTATTCCCCCGTCATTCTCTCTCTCCCCCCCTTAGCCCCCTTTCTCCACCATGGGTTGTGGGCTCACCCTAAACCCCCTTCTCAGGCTACTGCCAAACTAGGTAGCTGCCTTGAAATCCAGTCAGGCTTTTACAGTTCTATGCAGCAGAAATCAGCCTCACATCTTCATAACATTGTGGGTAGATTTGGTAAGACAATTGGGAAATCTTTTATTTTTTTTTTTTTGAGACAGAGTTTCTCTGTAACTTTGGAGCCTTGGAGTAGGTGGGCCTTCTGTCTATGTGTTACTTTCACTGGTTAATAAAGAAACTGCCTTGGCTTTTTGATAGGGCAGAATTCAGATAGGTAGAGTAGACTGAACAGAATACTGGGAGAAAGAAAGCAGAGTCAGGTAGACGCCATGGCTCTCCTTCCCAAGATGGCTAGACTCATGCCGGTAAGCCATGACCTCGTGGTGGCATACAGATTATTAGATATGGGTTAGTCAAGACGTGAGAGTTAGTCAAAAAGAGGTAAGAACTAATGGGCCAGGCAGTGTTTAAATGAATACAGTTTCCATGTAATTATTTCGGGTGTAAAACTAGCCGGGGAGCAGGAATGCAGTCTGCCACTCCTTTTGCAACACAGCCTGTCCTGAAACTAGCTCTTGTAGACCAGGCTGGTCTCGAACTCACAGAGATCTGCCTGCCTCTGCCTCCCAAGTTCTGGGATTAAAGGTGTGTGCAAAATTGGGAATTCTTAAAGAAAGAATTAGCTAAAAGAGAGTTTTTTCCACGTTAAAAAATGGAAAAAGCCATTATAATGGAGGGATTTGTATCTCTGCATGATAATATGCTGGACAGTTTTAAAATGAAATGATTAAATGAGAGGATATCTATTTTAGATGAGATTATGTAATGTCAATTATAAACATTATCAGCTTTATGATTTTTGTCTTATCACTAAAAAAGTTCGTTAATCTGAGTGCTAAGATACAGGCCTGAGAAAAACCTAATGAAACAGATCACAGAGATATTCAAATCCAGACAGAGGAATTTAACTTCAGTGTTGCATTATAAGAATACAGAGGAAAAGCCTAAGCTTTTCAGACAACCAACTTTAATATATCCAGTAACCTTACAGGAATTGCCAAATGGCAGAGGCTCTGTTACAGTTAACTGGACTCTTGTGATATTGTTAGATTTAAGGAGATTCAAGGAAGCAATAGTCTCATATGGCATGCGTTCACCTTTTGTGAAGCAAATGTTAAACTTGTGGTCAGTTCATAATAGAATTACCCTAAAGATTGGATAGACTCAGTTACAGGTGTTTCAGAGCCTTGCCCACAATTACAATGGAGTACCAGGTTTAGAGAAGAAGCTAAGATTATTGAACAACGCAGTAAAGCTAGAGGTAGGGAAATCTCCTAAGATCAAATTGTTGGAGAAGGAGATTATGCTACTTTAGAAAGGCAAGATGTATATGATGACCACACCCTGGATTTATGCCACTCAGCAGCTTTGAATTCTTGTGACAGAATTAGAGAAATAGGAAAGAAAATTGAGTCATTTACTAAAGTTATGCAGGGCTCAAAGGAAGCCTTTATGGATTTCTTAAAAATATTGACTTCAGCAGTAAATAGAATGATACCAAATTCAGAAGCTAGACAAATAATAATTGAATCTCTGGCATTTAAAAAGGCCAATGCTCTATACAAAAGAATAATTAGACCATTAAAGGCAAGGTCTGCACCTTTGGATAAATGAATTCTAGATACAATTAATATTAAATGACCATGATGATGCATGGATAGGAAAGGTGATTTCCAGAGGTTTGAGGAAAACTCAAAATGTCAAATGCTATAGTTGTGGCAAACAAGGTCCCCTTAAAATGGACTGTACACAGTGCATTCCTAGAAATAATTTTTTTCTAAGAACAATCCATTCAGACTGCCCCTCCCTTCTGGATTATGCAGAAGGTGTGGCAAAGGCAGGCATAAGACTAATGAATACACGTCAATAAGGAATAGTCAAGGGAATCCTTTGCCATCGGGAAACTCCCTAAGGGGCCTCTCGCAGGCTCCTATGCCAAACTGGTTCAGTTGTTCCTTACCATCATAGAGGAAACTTCTTCCCAGAGCAATTAATGAACCTAATGCCTAGTATAAGAAATCATACTGCTCTGAATAATAGAACAGGTATAGAAGAGAGAACAAAAAATTAAGGAGAAACCATAAAGTGGGTATTTTGGCAAACTTATATGAATGAGCAGAAACCAAAATTAAAAATACAATTAAATCACATTGTCACTGAAGGTCTGGAAGACACAGGTAAAGATGTAACAATAATTTCATCAGAATCTTGGCATTCAGACTGGCCTCTTCAGGATGTAAATGTTCAGTTCTTAGGGATCATAACTTTATCTCAGGTAAAGCAGAACATGATATGGGTCGAATGTATAGGGTCAGAAGGACAAAGAACAATATTAAAACCATATGTGGCTAACATAGCAATAAATTTGTGGGGATGTGATTTGTTACAGTAATGGAATACTCAGATTAACATTCCACCAATCTTAGAAACAAACCATAAATTAATGTTTCTGGGAAAAATGTTACAAGATATTATAAAGAACAGTTACTGAGCTTCAGGTTGTACAAGAACAGGACGCAACAGCTGCTGCTATTTCAAAGGCACCAACAGCCCTACCTTTAAAATGGTTGGCAGACAAACCTGTGTGAGTTAAGCAATGGCCTTTAACAATAGAGAAACTGTAGGCTTTAGAACAACAGGAGCAACCAGATGCTCAGCATATTGAAGAATCAACCAGCTCTTGGAATTGTCCTGTATTTGTTGTTAAAAAGATATGTGGAAAATGGAGAATGGTGACAGACCTAAGAGCTGTTAGTAAGGTGATTCATCTAATGGGCTCTCTACAGTCTGGAATTCCACTGTCTTCTCTATTACCTAAAGGATGGCCTCTTAAAATTATTGATTTAAAAGTCTGTTTCTTCACTATACCTTTACAAGGAAAAGATAGAGAAAAATTTGGCTTTACATTGCCTACTTATAATAATTCTCAGCATGCTAAAAGATATCAATGGAAGAGTCTCCTATGGGGGATATTAAATAGCCCCAGCCTGTGACAATATTTTGTAAGTCAGTCATTGGAAATGATATGTAAGCAATTACCTGAATCTATAGTTTATCATTATATGGATGACATTTTGCTATCTGATTCAAAAGCAGATACTTTAGAAAGGATGTTTGAAGAAGTAAAGAAAATTTTGCATTGTTGGGGATTACAAATTGATTCTGAAAAAATACAAAAGGGAGATTCTTTTAATTATCTTGGTTATAAAATAGGTTTACAACAAATTAGACCCCAAAAGGTGAAAATTAAGAGATATCATTGCAGACACTTAATGACTTCCAAAGATTGCTAGAAGACATTTCTCATCTATAGCACACTATTGGTATAGGTCCTGATGACCTGATTAATTTAAACAAAACCTTAGATGGTGACAAGGACTTAAATAGTCCAAGGGAATTATCAACTGAAGCTCAGAGAGAGTTGCCTTTGATTGAAGAGAAATTACAGAAGTCACAGGTGGATCATGTTACATCCAAATCTTAACTGCATTTTGGTCATATTACCCTCCAAACATTTCCCTACAGGAATTTTAATGCAAAGGAAAGATATTATCTTAGAATTAGTCTTTTAACACATAAACTGTATACAAAATTTAAAAATTATATGGAAAAAGTCTCTGAGTTAATACTTTGAGGAAAGTTGAGACTTTGTTAATTAGTAGGAACAGACCCAGAAGAAATTACATAGTACCTTTTAATAATCATGAAATTGACAAATTATGGGAAGAGAGTGAACCCTGGCAAGGATCTTGTAGAAATTTTTTTTTTGAGGAGATTAACAACTATTCCAAAAGCAAGAGAATTCAACTTATAAAGAGAACTAACTGGATCCTTCCTCACATTGTACAGGACACACCAGTAACTGGAGCCCCTACATTCTACACTGATGCAAACAAATAAGGAAAGTCAATTATAAATTTAAGTAAAGTGGCTCAAAGCCCTTATAAAACTGTTCAAA